GTTATGATTCCGTTCTGCCAAAATAAGATCAAGGATGATGCAGTGTTGGGCAGCATTCTCCTGCAAACCTTTTTCTTTGCAAAACTGTTTCCTCCGCACGCAGTCCCATGCGTTCCCTGCGAATCTTCATTTCTGGGGGCCAGAAAGCACAGCACCACAGGCGAAAGTAGGTACCAACCAAAGCAGCGCGAAGCAGCATGATTCCGATTCCAGAATGTGCTTCTCAACTGCAGCTTCAGAGCGCGGCTTTGCCAGGTCCTTCACAGCCCTTGCGTTTGCTGCTGGTCGAATTGCTAGAAGGCAAGAAGTAGGGAGAAGAGATCGTAAGAGTCTGTGTAGAAATCTTTCAACATAGTGAAAGGGTCAATTGTGTTCCACACTTGGCGTCAAGTACCATCATTGCTGTCATTTGCGGTTGTGGGTAACAAATTGAAGAACAGAACTGGAAGTCAAACGAACACAACAATAAAGAACAGGAGCTGCAGCTATTAGGGTGGAGGCCATCGCTATGAGGTGGGAGGCCATCGTTATTAGGTTGGAGGCCGCCTTAGGAGAAGCAGCAGATCTTAGGGAAAACGATTTGCCGCACTCGCAGCCTGCGACGAGCCTCTGACCTGGATGAGATTGATCGGCAGATCGCACGTGGGAGTCCTCAGCAAATCACGTGATGTCCTCATGTAGAATCAAAAGACTCACCAAATCGTAAGCTCCAAAGCAAGCGTGCTTATAGTATACAGTATACTATACTTATGTTATTTTTTGAGGCCACTTGTCCGCCGTAGAACTAGCTGAGTCCTGACATCGAATGGATTTGATGATGCCTTGACAACTTGGAACTCTCAACATTTCCAGTGGCATGTGGGAGTTGGATGGCGACGCATCTAAAGAAGAAGTCCCACACTTGATAGTTGTTCCAACTCTCAGATAGTTGTGCGGAATCAGCTGACACACTTCAGGTTTGATACAGGAACGAGCCATCATCGTCAACAGAAGTGAGCGAGTGCCAGCCTCGAGCGCCGCTCGATTCTTTCGCTGCCAGGCGAATCCAGAGAAATCTGCAGAATCCGATGGAAATCTGACAGCGGGGGAACACCAGCATTGTGCATAGCTTTCATTTCTAAGGTTCCAGTGAGATCTCTTCAGGCCAGGCAGAGTTGTTTCATGTGTGTTCTTTTTGGCATGTTCAATTCAATCCCCAAAAAAGCATCGCTGCTTGAGTGCCAAGCAAGTTGGATCGCCTCTCAGGTGGGTCAAGGGTTGACCGGAATTGTCCGAGAGATTGGACCCTTTGGCATCTTCTTGGACGTGGGTGCACAGCGTGACGGCCTGGCTGGGGACTTGGAGAACTGGTCCAGTCGAACCTGGCAGAGAGCTTGTGTTGAGCTGGGCCAAGCAGAGTGTAGGCTGTTCGAAGATGGTACTTTGAGGTGGAATGGAAGAGTCATTCACAGAGACTGCCTGCTGGGAGGTTCCTATCAGTCTTATCTCAGACAACTATGTTGCTGATGTCTACGAGGAGAACCAATGGCTGATTGGTTTGAATGGTGCAGGTGATCAGACACGGAAGAATATTCAGAGTATTCATATCCTATGTAAGCTGCAACACTTAAAGAGGAAGTGACACCATGTGACAACGTAAACCAGCCGTTACATCATCTTAAGGCTGGAGAAGGCTAGCACCTTTTTTGAAGGGTTCGGTGGGTGAAGCTGGTTGGGTGCCTACAAAACGGGCAACTTAGGACGCCATGAGCCATGCACAGGAGTTGATTCAAGCTTGTGGACTAATCACTTATGCCAGATTCATCCAGTTTCCTTGAGGAGTTCATGCCCGGGCAGAAGGCCAGTGGGGATTTGTGTCTTTGACCAGCTGCATCGATCTGATTTGAGCTTCTTGGATTTGTGAATCCCGTGTTTGAAGGTGTTTGCTTGGGTGGCAGAGATCAAGCAGAATGGCGAATTGCAGATGGCCCAGATCGAAGATTGCCCGATGTGCCACCAATTGTTATTGCTACTGCTCGGAACAGCGACCTGGTGGCCTACTGCGACCTTCTGGGCCAGTCTTCAGAATGTCCAAAGAATTCATCAACGTAGTGCGACTCTGCAGCTTGTACAAGAAGCTACGAATGGGGCTCCTGGCATCGTTACGAACGGAGCAAGGACGTTACTAGGAGCCCATAGGAGCCCGATTCCGTGTTCGATGGTTATTCGCTTTAAACTAGGAACAAGAAGCTACTAGGGGCTCCTGGCATCGCTACTAGGAGCAAGGACGCTGCTGGGGGCTCCTGGCCGTACTACTAGGAGCAAGTAGCTGCTAGTAACAAGAAGCTACTAGAACGGCACCACAGCACTGAAGGTCCTTGACGATGAGCTCTTGGCGTGCCCGGAAACGTCAAGGCGGGCATGAGAGGCCGACTGATGACCCATCGGGCCAACTGGGACCTAGTTTGATGTGTTTTTTTGATGTTTTTGGTTGACACCAGGATGTCTACTAAGACTTTGCTTGTTTCTGTTGACATTTGTTGACCATCACCACCCGTTTTTCAGGGGGCAAGATGGGGAAGGTGAAGGTTCGGAAAGGCCGCTCCAAGATTATCTAAGATGGTGGGCGGTCTAGATTCGATTGGGTACTTTCTCATAGAGCTGCATAGTGAGCCCTTGACACCCTGCTCTTGCAAAGTGGAAACTGTCCATCTCCCATAAACAAAGCGGCAGAAAGGTCTGCTGAAGCAAGATGTCTCAGCCTTTCTCGACATCGCACCAGAGGAGAGGAGCATTGACTGAATGATTGCATGCATACTTTATTCCATTCTGTTGCTAATCATCCTGAATCTGTAAATAGAGGACTCCAACAGTGCTCTCAAGAAGATACTCAAACACACCGCTCCAGCGTTAGATAAGAAGAGGCAGTGCTTGATCTGATCTGTGAAACGACTTGGGCTTGGACACCAAATCATGTCCTTGCTCCGTTCGTAGCGATGCCCTTTGTTCCTAGTAGCGTCTTGCTCCTAGTAGACAGGAGCGCCCCTAATAGCGTCGCTCCTAGATGCAGGAGTGGCTCGCTGGGACGTTGGTGCGAATCAGCCAGAGCAGGCTTTTGGTGGAACTGGCAACGCCGCCATCGACGGGTGAGCCAGGCAGGAGCGCCCGGCATCTCCGTCAGTTCCTGCACCACTTACCAAGCAGATTAAGGATCATGAAGGAGGATCCGGGATCCTTTCAAACGTCATTGTCCTTATCATAGATGATGCCCCAGCACGCAAAAAAGTACTTTGGAATCGAACACATACCTGTGGCATCAGTCACAACTTGCAGGTCAAGTGGGCACAGCTGGGTATGTAGATAGCAGGTAAAATAACTTTGTTTGCCGTTTAGCCTCCTTCGTGTCACGGAGAACGACTGGCGGCTACAATTGGCAGAAGTTGACGCCAAAGCAATGACATGCTGGTTGACATTCTTGAAAATTCTCGATCAACTCCACTGGGCCGGTTGCGCCGGCAGGCTCCGATCATGGTCAACGCCGAGTGTGTGGCTTTGCCGCCTGGAGAAGATTTGGGGGAAGATGCAGTCGAAGAATGTTCGAAGGTGGAATGGTGAAATGCTTCGGACGTTTGAAGCGCCTGGATTCGCCCTTTTGCAGTGTATTGCTTGCTGGAAATGGGGGGTTGGTCGCAGGAACCTGTGTGCATCTAGTCGGAGGAACCTACACTATAGTCACTATAGTAGCAACAGTGTCCATTGAAAAGAAGCCAACATCCAAAGAACATAGGAAAACTTGCAGGAGTATCCCGCAGCCCTTCCAAAAAAACAATTTGGGTGCACAAAGTTCTTTGGCAATGGACAAACTTGGTTGCTTTCATGCCCTGAAAGGGAAAATAACATCGTTCGCTTACACTGCAGAGTTGTCGCGATGGAAGTGGCTCAGGTGCACGAGTCGCAGATGATTCGTGACGAGCAGCTTCAGGTGCCTTGGATGGGGAGTACGCCATTGTGAGATGGTACAGCCATGTAGAGCCTTTATGGTAGTGGTGCTGGACGGTTCCGGGCGGTATCTCAACTGCAACTGTTTGGAAGTGAACTGGCAGCAGTTGCAATAGTTCACTCTCACTCTCATTTGTGTCCAATTGGAAACTGCCAATGAACAAGGTGAAAAACTGTTGGGTTGTTTGCCACAGATTGAGTGCGAAGCCAACAGCTGCGACTCTCGCCCTCTCGTACAGGTTGGCCAGCAGATTCAAGTGCGTGTGCTGCACGTGCCTTAGCGTTCAGAGCCTGCTCAGGACCAAGGCGATTATTGTCAAAAAACATGCAATATTTTGAGAGATAGAGGAGGTCCGAGTCAAATGAGTTCTAGCCCTAGCTATGTGTCACTAACTGTGTCACTAACTGTTCTAACTATGTTCCTTGCAATTCTAACTTTGTGGTTTGCAGGCGGGTTGATGCTCGTGGCCTCCACCTTACCATGCGGCAGGCGCGTTGGCTTCTCAAACGTTACACAGCTGAAGGTGTGGATGAACATGTCCCAAAACAGTCAACGAAGGCGATGCATGTCACAAGCTAGTGTCCAACATTGTCACATTGCAGTTTGCGTTTGCCAGCTGGGTGTTCAACTCTGGTTTTGGCCGCTGGCCATTCAAAAAACGCCCCCGGACACATCAGTTCCTTCAAGTGCGCATGAGGCATCCATGAGGTGCATGTGGGAACCTGAAGATACTTTGTTTGAGTCAACATTTGCTTGCCCGCAGTGAGACGTTGACCCTCTGTAGCATATTGAGTCAAGGACATGGACCCTTTCATGAGTCAGACATTGTGTTTGGAGATTGTAATTTGGAAGTTTTGTCTCAATATGTCTCAATCTTTGTTGAGTCTTATTAATATATTACATCAATAGTTAATTGGTTCTTTGTTCAATGTTTGTGTCGTACAGCATTAATATACTACACGCAGGCCTTAAGAATTCGTAGGCATCCAGCTTTGAAAGTGCACCAAGACAAGCCAGAACATATCAAAACATTAGTCAAATCTGACACTAGTGCCTGCTGCAAACGGCTTCGAAGCAGCTTGGCAAGCATGAACCTGAACTCAGCAAAGAAGCAGATCGGTATCGTTTTATCATGCTTCATCTCCGCTTCAGATGACAGCATTTTGCTTGAAACGATGGTGGAGTTTGCTTCTGGTCTAGGTATGCCAAAAAAGGCCTCTTTTCTGCTGAGAAGCCGCAGCTGGCTTCGGGAAGATCGTGGTTTGCAAACCCACGCTTTACAGGCGCCTGACAACCCCAGGCGCGAGCCTCAAAAGTTGCTTTCGAAGCTATTGGATGTGACACCTGGGAGAGGTTAATTTCTAGGAGTTGTCCAAACATAGACGGAGTCGATCATAACAGAATTTAGTAGCACATTCTTTCTCATTGATAGTATATAGGTAGTCCAAAACCTGCATCGCGCAAGGTTTTGCGCAAGGGCTACTTATTAGTTACCTGAATTTCTGCTAGCTTGGGCTTTGTGGAGTGAAATTTGTGAAGTCTTGACGGTTTAAGACTTTGAGTATGCTTCACAATATACGCCTTAAGGTAACTCCTTCGACATGTGGCCAATACAGGATCAAACATCCGCACGAGCTCCGCGCAAGCTCCGCGCAAGCCTGAATGCGCGTAGAACAGGACTGGCCACGTCGACTTCTCTGAGCCAGCTGTTTCGGCCGTGCTGTTTTTAAACTCTCCGTTTGTGATAGTGGTTTGCACGTACACATACACACCCACGAAAACATGCAAATGAAAACTCATGTGAACAGAAACTGTAGTTTTACTGTTCGCGCAAGATTTGCCCAAGGCCGGCGCAAGGATAGTTTTGGGAAAAGGGATTTTGGACAACCCCCACATGAAGGGGACAGATCTCAGATCACCGATGCATAGACAACGGACACACCCGAATACCAGGCAATGCCATAATGTAGTCCCTTGATTAATAAACCCCCCCCCCGGGGTCCCCCCCCCCCCCTATCAACAATTGAGACTCCAGAACAATATGATAGAAAACAATCAATTGATAAATAAATAAGGAATCCTTAGCTAGCTACCTCTGAAGCTACTCTGGCAATACTAAAATGAATGGAATCATTACTTAGCTATCTCTGGCAATACTAAAAATGAATAGAAATAAAAGGACTCATTACTTAAAATCATCAAATTCCAATGGAAATCTATAAAATTTCAATGGAAATCTGCATCCAAAGACCTTCAAATTCAGCAAATCTCAATGGAAATCTATAAAAATTCAATGGAGTTCTGCATCTAGAAAGAAAGTGCGCACTGACTTTTGGAAACTTTTGGAAAGCTTCACAACTAAAGAGCTAAGGAAAGGAAAATAAGGAGTAGAGGGTGAGTAAAGCAAATCAAAAGGCAAAGAAAAGGAACCAATATTTAAGGCCTCAAATCTCTAGACATTATTCTAGGGCCCCCCCCAAAATAATGACAGAAACTTGCTTGCTGGACTACCCCCTTTGCTGGAATGATTTTTTTGTGTTTTCAATAATGTTTAATAAGGGATTTTCAAAAGAAAGTGCGCACATACTTTTTTGGAAGTTTTGGAATCCTTAAAGATAAAAGAGCTTTTGAAAAGCAAAAGAACACAAAAGGAAAATTATCAGGTTCAAGAAAGCTGCAAATCTCTAGACATTAATCTAGGGGCCCCCCCAAAATAATGACAGAAACTTGCTTGCTGGACTACCCCCTTTGCTTGATTGATTTTTTTTGTTTTTCAATACTTTTGAATAAGGGATTTTATAAAGAAAGTGCGCACTGACTTTTGGAAACTTTTGGAAAGCTTCACAGCTAAAGAGCTTAGGAAAAGTAAATAAGGAATAGAGGGTGAGTAAAGCAAATCAAAAGGCAAAGAACAGGAAACAAAGATTTAAAGCCTCAAACCTCTAGACATTATTCTAGGGGCCCCCCCTAAATAATGTCAGAAAGCTGCTTGCTGGACTACCCCCTTTGCTTGAATGAAAAGGAATAGAGGGTGAGTAAAGCAACTCAAAAGGCAAAGAAAAGGAACCAATATTTAAGGCCAAAAATCTCTAGACATTATTCTAGGGCCCCCCCCAAAATAATGACAGAAACTTGCTTGCTGGACTACCCCCTTTGCTGGAATGATTTTTTTGTTTTTTCAATAATGTTTAATAAGGGATTTTCAAAAGAAAGTGAGCACATACCTTTTTGGAAGTTTTGGAAATCTCCAAAAGCATCAAATCTCAATGGAAATCACCAAATGTTTAATAGAAATCTCCATCCAAAAGCCTGTAAGATAAGCAAATCTCAGCAAACTCAAAAGGGAAAAAGTAAACTATAACAATAAAAAATATCCCACTACAACTATCCCTCCCCCCCAAAAAAATACATTATTCTGGGGGCCTTTATTAATCTGTGCAGGAAAAAAAGTGTCACTATTCTGGGGTACTTTATTAATCCAAGGACTACATTACTCTTCTGCTGGATGTTTGATTAAGCTTCGTTCCGGCTATATACTCGATGTACATAATTGATTCATGTGTGTCCTTACAAGCCGCCAGGTTGCCCATTGCTTCTCAGTTACGCCCACCAACTTCAGAGTCAGTTCCTTACTCACTTGCAAGGAAATATAGATGACAAACCGTTGGACGAACATGAATGGCTTGCTGACAAGGTTTTAAGAACCTGCGATGACAGTACCTACATTTTCCAACAAGCATACTTTGACAAATGGATAATCATTATGTCTAGGCCTGAACAGTTCAATTGTCATTCCCTGTTCCAAGGCCTGTCCAAAGGCAGGATACCCTGCGCGGTTGGCAATATTCCAACAAGATCATGTTTTCCCAGTCAAATCAGATCGATATGCGCCAAGCTGCATTGCCCAGCTGATGTTCTTCATTGAGCAACATAAATACTGCCTGCCATCAAGCAGTTCAATGCAGGTGGTGGCTCAGAGACCTAACACGCGACAAGTCACTCTTCAAAGGTTTGTTTGAGGTGCGACTTGTGTGTCGACTCACTTGATCCACATTTGGGAACTAGTAGCAAGGACGCTACTAGGGGCTCCTGGCCTTACTAGGAACAAGAAGCTATTAGGAACAAGAATTAGAATTGGAACAAAAATAAAGTTAATTGAGAACTCCTCAGAAACATGGAGGTTTGCGGACCTTCACGCACCACTACTCACAGCATACCAATTTCCTCACCCAGTCCAAACAAACTCAAACCTTGTGTCGGTGTGGAGGCCATGACTGGTCATGTGCCCCTTTGGGCAGAGCCTAACAGCAGGCAGGGTCAGCGAATTGAGAAAGCTGAATCTGATGCAAGAATTGTAGGACGGAAGCAAGATGAAGCAAGAATGTCAGGACCATTTAGGACACATGTGCTTAGCATGTCTTCGGGGCTGTGTTGGGTACTGTGCTTTTTTCCTCAGCACTTCCATCAAAAACGACTTTAACGAATAAAAACAGAATTTCGGCGCTGACGCAAGAAAAAGGTCTTCGGAAGGCCGAAGAAACGATGACGAATTGATGCACGTCCCAAAAGCTCCGATGCACATTGAAACTAGGACAAATTGTTGATCTCCAGGTTTGCGGCATCGTTGTAGACAAACTAGGTTTGAGCTTTGAGCAACTTAGGCGGCTCAAGACCCTATACACCAGATGAAGAACAGAGTATACTTTACCAGCTCACCCGGGAATGCCCACCGTCGCGTCTAACTAGTCAATGTGTTTGGATGTAAACATTCTTTGAGGCTATTGAATACTGACGAACCTGCCACCACAATCTCTAGAATCCAGACCCCACACATGTGCGATGAATCCCTCTATATATGGAATACCTGTTTTCCCAGCCCAAATCACTTTGCAAGGTCGCAGTGCTTCGGAAGCTTGGCAGAAAAGACGATTTGTTCACTCGCCCAGTGGCACATTCCATCATGACGCAATACCAGTTAGTAGATTCAACATCATCTATTTTTGTTTACAGGCTGAAGACACTATTCTAGTTAGGGCACTAGAAGTACGTATATATTCCAGTGGATGTGTAGTACATGGGAAGCATGAAAGAACAAAAGAAAAGAAAGTTGAACTGCCAAGCTAAGCTTGTGGTGAACAAGATCAGCCATGCTTTCTTAGGCTTAATGCGAGCTGGGACCCGCTTCATGGCAAAGCCCAAAGTGGTCCAAGGATCTGTGTGGCTGAAGGTTCAAACGATGCTTGGCTGAAGCATGAGGTTCAGGTGGGGATTACAGATGCCTTCAGGTCTGAATCTGATTACTGGCTGCAAAAGTTACACAAAAACACGCAAAATATATATCATGTGCACAAAGTGCTTCATGCCTTGAAAAAGGAGGGCACCGGAATTCCAATGCCGCTTTTTCAGACAAACATTTTGCATGGCATGTGCGGTTTGTTCTGCCTCGGATCAAATTGTTCAGTTCGTTCTGTTCTGCGGAGACTGAGTTGGATCAGTTTGTGCAGGGTTGTTTCTCACCATTGCATGACATATTTGGCAACGCCCTTTAGTTAGTTTTGGTAAGACATGCAGAGGTTTTGTTTGACAAGCATGTTACCCCCCCGGTTGATGGATGATAAGCGTTCCACATTTGCAGACAATGCTGTCGGGACAAACCGATTGTGGCTGCTCAACATGAAAAATCACAGCATCTATGTAACATTCCTGAGGCGAGGTGTATCACCACCATTGTTCTCGAACCGTTCTGAAGTCCTGTTCGCCGTGAACTCAGATGACTTATTCATTCGCTCGTTGGGAATGAACGGATTGAAAGGCTTTCAAAAAAGAGAACATGCAAAGCAAATTAGACAAACAGTTGGAACAATAAGCTACTAGGAACAAGTGCCACGCTACTAGGAACAAGTGCCTTACTAGTGGTAACAAGAAGCTACTAGTAACAATAAGCTTCTAGTAACAGGTGCATCGCTAGTAGTAACAGGTGCCTTACTAGTAGTAACAACAAGCAAACAGTTGGAAGCACGTTTTTTTCACATAACATGATCGATCGTTCTTACGTCTTCGTTCGTCTCCCCAGGCCACGTGTGACGAGTCTCCGCACCACCGGCATTTCGCGACCAGTGGGCCTCCTGTCCTACCAATAACACAGGATATGGCCGACGGTTTTGCAGCCGAAAGATTAAAACGGAAGACTGCAGACAAGACTTGGCAGCTTGCATCAAGGATGAATACGCTTGGATAATATGTTGAGCTGCGCGTGGATAAATTATCAATCTACTTGACTACTTGCCATGAGGGCAGCCTGCGTGAGTTGATGTACTGTATCAGCTTGGTGCCGTGAAACGAACATTTGATCAACACCAAGTTGTCCAAAAAGAATCGAAACAACACAAACCTGATACTTCAGCATGGAATTTTGAACTTAGTGGCTCCACATTTCTAGGATTTTGCAGACGTTTCAGAGATGTGGATCGAGTACAACATGCAGTGAGCCACCAGACTGACGAGATCTGACGAGACTGACAGCGTTCGTTTGCTTGTCCTGACTACATCTAGGTTGAGCTTGTTGGATCACCAGGACAAGAGTTGGACATGGAAAGACTATATGGATAATATGACTATATGATATATGGTTCCTGATTGAATTTTCGATGAGGGCAAGTACCGTCAACTAAGTGCGTTTGTACAAGAAACCCCCGGTCTTCCAAGTGATCTAAATTCCAAATCCGTCTTTGAGGTGAGCATTCCTGGTGACGCACATGCAAGCTGCCTATTTACTAAATTGGAGGCTTTGGCATAGGTATTGGCATCTTGCGTTAGGAATAGTGTTCTGAAGGTACGTCAAGCGTATCCGCGATTTGGGTCGAGAGCAAGGTGCCTTGGGGCCTTGGGGTTGGAATTGGTAGGAATGTAGGAACAATGTTCGCTACTAGGGGCTCCTGGCATCGCTCGCTAGTAGGAGCAAGGACGCTACTAGGGGCTCCTGGCCTTACTACTAGGAACAAGAAGCTACTAGTAACTCCACTTTTTGCTACTAGTAGCTTCTTGCTACTAGCTACTAGTAGCGATGCCCTTGTTACTAGGAGCGATGTGGGTTTTGCTTGTTTAAAAGTATATAAAATACTGTATGATTGTATATGTTGGTGTTGTCTTGCCTATGCAAGGTCTATCACTGACAGTGTCATACCTTTCATCAAATTTGGAATATGAAAGTGCACTATACTCACGCTTCAGTCGGTGCAGCTTGTTCATTACATACCGTACGGCCCAGGCTCGCTCATGTCACTGTTTGTCATGCTTGGCATGTTTCCTCCCATTCTAACCATTTGCAGCTGCAGTACATCGAGGTTCTATGGACACGTATGTATATGATTGTATATATATATATGATATATACAAATACGCAGTTTGGGTGATTCTGTTGCACTTGCTCGGGTTCGGAGAATTGTGCGTTTGTTGACTCACCATGCATAATAGGTTGAAAGCATGGAAGGGGTCATCAGCTCTCGCAACCAAAGAGCACCATCACCATCGTTCATGTTGTGCAGGTCGTACATCCTACAGCATCATCTCCAAGCCAAGATCTAGAGAAGGCAATGTTGGTTTGAAGGGAACATGCTACAACATGCTTGCAACCTGCAACCTCAAGGTTCTTGTTAGTAGAGTAGCACTTCGCACACATTTTGGAATCCGGTTCAAGTAGAAGTGCAGGTTGCTGAAGGATTGCACGACGTTGAGACATCAGTTGATTTGCATCTCACTTTGCAGATGTTGCTTTGACTGCCGGCAACTTAATTTGCCTCACAAAAGCCGCTAGTAGGTTGGAGGCCATGGCTAGTAGGTTGGAGGCCATTGCTACCTAGTACAGTAGGTTGTTCGCTTCTAGATTCTTCCCTCGGTTCGAAACGCACTCGTTGGATTCGCCCAGGACAAAAATCTCGTCAAGCCTGGATTGATGATTGAAGGCCTTGATTGCGGGTGGAAAACATAACTTTCTCCAAGGTCCAGGGGGATTCCTCCCTGCTTTTGGCAGTAATTTCCTATCATGTCCTTCATTTTGTAAGACACCCTGCAAGGCTTGGAACAGCGTGTCCGGGGGTCCTGTTGTGTTGCTCTAGTTGGAAGACAACATGGTAGCGCATGTGGAACAATATCTGGCAAAATTACAACGTGTTCCGCGGTGTTAGTACTTTGCGCGAACTGGGGAGGCAGTTAGCTTCTCTCATGGAAGTCATGAATTCAATCACAGTGGTTAATGCAGCCAGGTGATGTAACGTGCCGGATTGCCTGAGGGTAGATGGATGAGGGGTTGCCAACATGTTTGATAATTTGATAAAACACATTCATATTATATACTGTATAGTACTGTATATACGATTCCTGAGGATCCCTACCAGTGCTTAGCATGAGACTCTCAAGCAGGTGTTTTTTCTCTCAAAAGCTCTTGCTCTGAAAGTCTACCAAGTATAGACTTTGACCTCAAGCAGCTTGTACACTCGGTTGCAACTGTTGGCTTTAATGTGAAGAGCTCCGCAGCAACCAAGATACATGTAGAAACACAATTTGGAATTGAAAGTGAAATGATCCTTGACCAGAGTTTGCCACAATCAACGTGGCCAACCGTTATTTGGCATTTGCTGCAGGGTACTTTTCACCAAAGTCAGAGGTAAATTATTTTGCTTATTTCATAGTTTCGTTAGTTCCTTAGTGCTGCGTGTGCGCCTCATTGCCAAGCAAAGAGGATATCACACTCAGGTCTTTCAATAGCCTCGAGCATGGTCTGCTGCATCCAGTATCTACGTCATGTCATGGCTTAAGGTCCGGGGAGGTTCTTGATCGGGTCCTTTTGTCGACGAGTGATCCCGGGTACATTGATTGACCAAAGCCACACTGATTATTGACATCATGATTCTCAAACGTGATGGCAGCAGTACCTTGTGACTTGTGGGTACTTTATCACTACTGCAGTGGATGTGAGAACACGCAGACCGATTGTGTTCAGCTGGAGATTCCTAATTACACCTCCAGTGATTTACAGTAATGGGTTGTTCCAGTGATGCCGTTGTTCCAGTGATGCCGTTCTTGTTCAGCTGTTCATAGTTTCAAGGAAAAACATCAAACAAACACTTTTCGATCGAATCCGCAAAAACATTCCGGATATTGGCGACAGACGTCGCAAAAAGATTCACGTTCTGCGCTTTGCAGCTTAGCATGATGGACGATAGAGTTGCATTGCCTGCCCTTACGTTCCTTTTTCTATCATCGACCTGTCAATCCAGATGGATGACCAATGTAATCCGTTATCCTTGATAAAACGTCACAATGTTGCCTCCATACTTCATGTCGTGCGTTTGAAATGACCAAAACCAAGTTTAAAAGGCCTACGAAGGCTTTGGCAGATTGCTTGGCAAAGCAAGTCACTCTTACTCTTACTAACAAAGGATACTAGCAGCGGGTTGCACAAAGGCCTATAGATGAATTGTGAAACGTGGCGCGTGAATAGGAGATGCCTGTGATTGACAAACAATAATGTATACTGTATATTAGCAATATATTAAACAATAATATACTGTATGATCAAATGATCAAACAAGAACATATTATACAGTATTAATATATATATATACTTGCACCACTTTCGACAACCAAATGCTGTTGGCTTTGTATCCCCAATGACTCGCTTCGTGGCGCGACTCAGGCTGGCTCGAGGTTCACGGGGTCCTCCACGGCTGAGAAATGGTGTGGTACTTGGAGCCGCCGAATACAGACACCAGAGCTAACGAAACAGAAGGCGCCTTTGAGAGAAACAGAAGTCTTTCAGGCAAAAGTTTTTTGCTTCTCACAAAGATTTTCAGGAGGGTTCTTGATGTGTGCACAGATTGCAGAGTGTGGAGCCGGAATGCGGAAAAAACGTTTGGCCATGGGCTACAGGGCTACAGTAGTTCTGGCAAGCTTGTGAACCGGACAATCATCAATTCACATGGTTTGCGTCTCATGCAGGGTCACATCAGAGTCTCATGAGGCTTCAGGGGATCGTCAAGAATACCACAAGTTCCGGTGCATTCATCTCGTTGTGTGAAGCTCAGGGCGACCCCCAACTGAGCACAATTGTATGCTGGAATGACAGAGAATGTTTTCCAATGTTTTTCCTTTGACTTTATTATTGTACTTTCACGCCGGTGCACTTGCCTCGGCACTGCACTGATTTCATGTTGTTCATTGTTGTTCAGTCTTTTGGCGTTGGTTTTGTGCTTGTTTTCTTTACACTTGCTGACCAGCTGGCCAGCTCCTGCAGGAGTGAGCTGACGCCGACGCATGACTCACTGGTCTTCGTGCATTCTGGGCATGTGGTGTCCAACTTGCAATTGTTCGTTGAAATGGAAACATAACATAGCTCAGGTTGCAAGACGGTCAGGTCATCGGCAGAAAAGGTTGGATGCCATCGCCAGGCAACTGTCCAGCATGTCAAAGGAAGAGCTTGAAGATCCAGCACAAGTTGTTGAAGTTGGTTCGAGCCTGAGTTGGTCACCTCAAGAGTGGATGCAGTTTGTCCATCTCCATCGCTTGAGTTTGATAGCGCTTCCCCTCTAGAGTGTCCACTTCAAATATGTGACAGCACCACTTGAGGGGGGTTATCAATGGTTACCAATTTTTCATATATATATAATATACTATATATCTATATATACAAACGAATATATTTTGTCACATGATCCACTGTGAGGTGTTTTGGTCTGTTGTCAACACCTGCGATTCCATGTTCTTTCTTTGTGGCGTGCTCCACCTTGGCGGTTTCCAAGGGGTGTCGGCGTCGGCCTTTAAGGCGATGAGGTGATGGTCCGGCTCTTGGATGTCGATGCCAGGGCCCCAGGGCAGGGCCCCTGCGGCCCCTGCATGGTCGAGTCAAGGTCCTTGCGGCCCATGCCCACTTAGTCTTAGTCAAAACTTAGTCTACAATTAAGAGATTAATGGCGTTAATAGGTAAGAACTGTACATTGTACATAGATTGTCCAATGTTCATGAAGTTCATGCCGATGAGTATATTGACATTGATAAACCTCTGGCGGAATGTGTTACAGTAAGTTGAATCAGGTACTCATATCCTCTCGAGTTGACTGTTCATGTCATTTCAAGACGGAAGTGGTGATCACAAGATGAACTTTCACAGTCAACTCATCTAGGCTATAGGGTCCTAAGTGTCCTTGGGATTTGTGCTGCATGTTCTTTTGCTGCTGTACTTACTTCTATGGAGCTCCAACGCCAGTTTGCCTCGCTTGAGGAGACCGGGCAACGCTTGGGTTCCATGATCTGAGCAGACAGAAGGGGGGGTTGACGTCAGATCAGCAGAGAGAGGTGCCCCTGGGACTCGGCGGCGTCGCACTGCCGGCCTGGTGCCAAAGCTGTGCCGACGAAAAGGCAGCGCACAATGGAGCTGTTGTGGCTGTTTGCGGCGAACGCCGTTGTTTTGTCGACATGTTGGGTGGCTTGCTGTGTCAATTCGCACTCTGACTCTGGATGATTTGGGCTCAATGATGTACCGTATACACCAAGAGTCTAGTACAGTTACAGCACTAGCGACTAGCTGCTTTCTGCATCAACCAGGATCGCAGCTGTCCGTATCAGATCTTTAGGGAATATCTTTCAGCAGTGTGTAACCCGTATTTGGCTGGGGTTCTGACACAATAGTAATGCTGCTTTTGGAAGGCAAGGGGTGAAAACACACAACCCATAGCTGCTATAGCCGAGACCTACTTGCCCAGGATGGGCCTAGAGGCTTACTGTATGGAGCCAGACCAATTTCACTCACGGTGAACTTCTGGAACATGTCCTATTAGAGCACACGTAGTGGACTGCTGGCCATGGCATGCTGCTCAGAAATCCAGAAAAAACATTGTAACAGCTGTTTTTTAAAAAAACGGTAAATGCCCTCCGCTGAGACCAGCTGGTGCTACTCCACAAACACACCCATACTCAATTTCCAGCTGTTTCCGCTACAAGCTCTTATGCTTTCTGGGGGCATTTGAGCATTAGCCCAGCAGGCTAGCCCCTTCGAAAGGCTCTTTGCGTTTTGCCTCAACTTTGCGCAGTCTCCGCTCCACGTATCCACACCACTTGAGGTGAATCCATCGCTGATTTTCAACGGTGCAATCTCCGGCTTCGTGGGCGCAGGGGTCCTGGCTGTCTAGGACCTAGGAGTCTAGAATCATCTCATGGTTTCTCCAATATGCTCTGATATATACCTAGAGCTTCCTTCGTCGCATTAATTATTGCCCCTACATGTGTTCGTATCATTTTTCAAGAAATCGAGCTAAAATCCTCTTTAGAAGGATCAACAAGAGACCTCGAGCATAAACCTGTGGACTCGAGCGTTTATTTCCACCACGAGCGTTTTTTGCTTTCAGCCATTTTGGCTTTGTGATGGGGCCACAATACTTGGATCAGTGCGCCCTGGGAAACATGAGCACAGTGGTATGTGCAAAAAAAATGTGTGTTTGTGATCAGGAAGGCCAGCTTCTTCAGGAAGAAGATCTTAAATGCCTTAGATGCCGGCTTTGCAGGTACGTCTTGGCATGGTGGTGGGGTAAACCTTGATACTGGAGGTGCACCTGGCCAGATTTATTCCAAGATCAGCTTGAACAGCCCTGACCAGTGAGAATAACATGTACACGAACCCATAGGCTAGGGCCCTTGCACCTTGCAGGTGCTATTGGGGACTACATCTTGGGACATCAAGGTGCACCTGTCTGGGTGGCAGGAGTCAGAGCATTCAACCACTTGTCCCAAGCAGTTCTTAGCTTTGGATGGTCGATGTCTTGAAACGCTTCTTTTTGGATAGCATTTGGCTTGAGTGGGTGTCGTCACAGTCTGAGTGTGAAGTCATGGCGGGTGCAGTTGTGGGAGCATGGATGGAAGACAAGGTCTTGCTGTCCCGCGGAGGTTTTGGTCAGCTCTGCCAGACTGCTAACAACAAGTGTCTGACCAGAGCTGATGTTGTGGCCAATGCGGCCATCCTGGGACCAATCTTAGAACACATGGGGGCTAAGCTTTCGGTCGATACACTGACTACTGTGGTGGATGACTTTTTCAACCGAGCCAGGCCTCGGGGGAAAAAAACGGTGTCACGATCCTTGTTTGAGCTTTCTAAGCAAAATTTGATACACCGGTGGTACTTTGCTACATGGAGCCCCAATTGTATAACCGACCAGTTGGTATTCTCCTGTGGCTTCATTTCCATCTCAGGATCCACTGCAAAAGGGCAAGCCTGGATCATCAAGCGGCTCATTTCCATTTTTACCCGTTCTGCTGCTCGTGGACATTATCCCAGGGAGCCTGGCATGAGGGCAATTTTCGTCTCTGCAGGCATTGAACTGCCTTCAGACCCTCGTTCCTTTGCTTTCATTTGCATGTCATATGTTTGGCTTTGGGTGTCGGACCTGACTTCGGTGTAGGGGCAATGATTAGCACAATTCTTTTGTTGGTCTGAGGTTCATCCCGATCGGACCTAGATGAAGATGAAGGTGCTGATGGAGAGGATGGTGACCATGATGACCATGAGGCCTGATGGGGTGGCACCTGAGAAAGTAACTTTGTCATAGAAACCCTGTGCGCATGGCATGAGTGAGCCTGTCTTAGAATCATTGCTGAACTTGTTTCTGCCAGTTCAGGCAGTTGGAGTCCCTGAAGATGGCGATCCTACGCCAACTGATGGTTCCTGGGATCAATTTGTTCTTGTAAATTTGTTGCCTGCCAAAAAAAGGACATTTGCAGGTCACCATTTGCCATTTGTCCAGTCGATGGGCCCTGTGCTTTGGCTGCTCAGGTGACGATGACTGGAGCGAAGGTGAGGAAGAGGAGACACCGGAAGATGAGGATCCAGTGGTGAACCCCGATGCTCCACTGCACCCCACCAAAAAGCCAGCGGAGACATTGGAGGGGGACAATACATTTTCACCCAGTGCTCCACTACTCTCTGGAAATCATTCTGTGACTCCATCCCCTCGAGGACATTCCTGACCAACATTTGGTTGATTTTTTTAAGGCCTCTACCTAGAACATCCCAAATCCTAGAACAGTGTACTGTATCATGCATGGATTGCTTCCTGGAGGATTGAACATCGATGAGATGGCTTCTGGAGAGAAGATGTTGGAGCGTCCAGTTGCGCCTAGTTTTGCCCCTGACAAGCTTGAGTGTGCAAAGGCTGTTGCTGGTGAGAACAATGCGTTGTCATCCCTTCAATTTGAGTTGGACGCACTCATCAACGAACAACGTCTTGCAGAAGAAATGCTAGCAGTGCAACAGCTAGAGATTGAACAGGCTGAGATGGACCTGACTTTAGGGCACTTGCAGGAAGAAGCTTCTAAACGTGAAGCAGAGAAGTCCCTCTTGAACTCCACCATCCCAGCTGGATCTTCTGTTGCTCCCAGCCATTTGGCCTAACTTGATCTATTTAATTTAACAAATGACCTGGTCACTTGTGAAATTCATCCTGAAGTGGAAAAACAGTAAGCAGCAGTCCCAACATGATTGCATATGGTATAGTCAAACACTGCCCAAACACCAGTCCCAATCAAAACACTGCCAAGACCAGGTCAGCTTTACATGGACAATGTGGAGACGCTTCCATATGAACCAATTGCTCTTGCTACTCCCTGTGAGCCTTCAGCTCCTATCGCCACGCCTTTGGCCAAGGAGGAGATTCACATAGCAAACAATAGCATGCATATGTTCTGGGGCTCAACCAAAAACATTTTTGCCGCAGGACCCTGCACCTTCCCGCTCCACTGCTGACTTGTTGCATGCTGACACCCTCATCTATGGGCAAGTCGAATCGCCTGAGGAGCACAGTGGGGGTCCAAAGGATGATGCTGGGAACAAGGTGAAGAGAAGACTTTCATTTACTGCCACCGGCCCAAATGTTCTCAAGACCCTCCATCCCATCTCGCCGGAAGAGCAAATGAAAGCAACCAAGTCAAAAGGCAAGGGCAAGGGCAAGGGCAAGAAATCCAAAAAGGCGCAGGCAGAGGAAGAGGAAGATGAAGAAGATGATGAAGAAGAAGGGACAGAGGAAGACGAAGAAGACCATGAAGAGGATGAAGCGGACGAGGAACCGGAAAAAGCAAAGAAGGCAAAGAAGGCAACCGCCAAGTCCAGAGGCAAGGGCAAGAAGCCCAAAAAGGCACAGGTGGAGAAAGAGGAAGATGAAGAGCCAACGAACAAGGCAAAGGGCAAGGGCAAGAAATCCAACAAGGCAAAGGTGGAGGAAAAGGATGAAGATGAAAAGCAAGAAGCATCAGGCAGCACTAAAGGCAAGAAACAAAAGGTACCCGAAGTTGAGGAAAGCGCTGCCAAGAAGCCAAGGAGGAAGGGAATGATTGTGAGTGAGCAGAGCAATGAGGAGGCTGAGGACACCGCTAGCAAAGGTGACGTGAGTGTCAAGTCAAAGAAGGGAAGAACAACTGCAAAAAAACAAGAGGTGGAAAATGAGGTCGAAGTGAAGACAAAGAAGGGAAGAACAACCGCAAAAAGCAATGAGGGGGAAGTGAAGACAACAAAGAAGGGAAGAACCTCCAGAAAGAAAGATGAGGTGGATGAGACAAAGAATGAGAAGGATAACGTGGATGTGAAGCCAAAGAAGGCAAGAAAGCCTGGAAAGGAAAAGACACCGATGGCAAAGAATGCCATGAAGGAAGATGAGATTGAGAAGCCAAAGAGGGCACCAAAAAGGGCTAGGGAAGCTGAGGTTGAAGCTGTGGAAGCTCAGGGAAAGGTTGCCAAGGATGCATTGGCAAAAGGAAAAAACAAGAAGGAGTTGAGTGACAAGGAGAAAGACCAAAAGGCCAAACGCAGTCGCAAAAGCTCAGCGTACCATGTTGCCTATGCGAGGGCGATTGCAGAAGAGAAGCCACAAGAGATCGCTCGAGAGCTTGCAAAGCAAGCCACTAGTCCATTATTATCAAATCAGTGCAAACTGTGCAAACACAACCCATTATATAGTTCAACACCACCACCACCTGATGTCAGGAAAACAGTATCGTTGCGTTAAGAAACCACTCCCTTTGACCACATGACCTCCTGCGACCAAGGCTTACAAAGACACGTGCTGAGACTGCCGACGTGTGCTGAAGCAACTTGGGGCATATCTGAATGCTTGATCCTACGTGGGGTGAAGTGGGTAGCTTTCAGACCTAGTGGTTTTGCAAAATCCTCCATTCAACAAGCTGTGAACACAAGTTGCACAGCTGCAGCTGGTGTGCTTGGAGTGGGGGTGTGGTAGTTGGAGGTGCCATTTGTGCACACACTAGTTCTGCACGTGAACACTACGTGCACATATATACATGCGGAGGGATGAAGCCAAAACAAACAACTTGCCATGCACTAACATTCTGGACCAGCATTACCATCATCACCATCCCCCAAAAAAAACTCCACAGAGGTGAGGTTGTTCCTTCACTTTGCCCCGATGCAGGTGCGCATGCCTCTTGCGGAGGGTTGGGCCATCAGAGCAGGTGCCCCACGCCGTCCGCAATCCCGCAGCAGCGTTACTTATTTCATCTGCAGTTTGCAAGTAGTGTCATACGGTTACACTTTGAACCGGTGTACCTGACATATGTTTTGGAATAACTATAGTGTACTGATTTGCTTTTGTATATATGCAGCTTTTTTCTCAGGGTAGGCGGATCACGGTGATAGCAATGGAATCGGAAAGCGTGGTGATGAATCTGGCACACTTGGGGGCACCTAAGGTTCGAGTGACTTTTTGCAAATGCAGTGAGAGTTTCTGAGATGGCACGTTTGCAGTTTCCCTGTTCAGATACTCATAGCTGTGGTGCTTGGAGTCATGTGGTCCAAGAACTTACCTGACATCCATCCTCGGTTTCATTTTTTTGATCTTTTCTGTGGAGAAGCCCAAGCATCTCGTGCTGCGTCGCATGCTTGAGCTGATTCATTCAGTGCTTGTTGAATTGCACTAGGTTCCTTGTGCACACAGATTATTTCGATTATTTTCGGGTTTGAAAACTGCTTAGGAAAGCTCGGGGGTATTCTGTGGCATCCTTTGACAAACTCCGTGCCCTTGGTCAGCGGACCATGGATTTTTGTACTCCACCTGGACTGCTGTTGCCTAGTATATATTGGTTTAAGAACTGCTGCCAAGTTAATTGGGTTTCGCCATTTGCCTGTGCGCCCAGGCTGACCATTCACACCATCCTGTGTCTACATGTGCAAAGCATTTGCCTTCTCGGGCCTTGCTGTGCCAGCTGGGGAGTGCCAGCACGGGGCACTTCGAAACGCAGTTACATTAACCCCTATGGTGCACAAGAACTGGGTTTTGTCTCTGATGCCAACCAAACGGTTGCCTTGTGCCAGGGTTGCATACAGTGGCATGTAATATGAGCATGAATCGAATATGTTTTTCTGTGTTTCTCAAAGTTAGCCAAGGGCAACGCTATTGTGTATGTTGCTTTTGGCGCGGAACTGCTTCTACATTCTGGAGCAACCATCAAATACTTTGCTACACAGACATCCTAGATGGGACTATTTCTGCAATCATGTGAGCTTCGTTTCTTGCCTATGGTGGTTTTCCTTGACGTGTACAACATGGGGTTGAAAAGGTATGTGCTTCTTGTCATGTATACTACAATTCAATGCTCTCAGGTTTTCCGGTGTGCTTTTTGGATGCTTCTTCACGGAAGTCTGAGTTCCAAGCGTACGGTTTGCTTCTCGAATGGGGAATGGATCCAGCACTTGGACCTGGGAACGCTGTCTGCCGCGCAGAGGATTTCACAAACAAAGATTGAACCAACCAGTAGGGGCCCCTAGACTGTTTTTTTGAGCACCCTTGTTTGCAGCTTGGTGGCCAGGGTTTTTTTGGCCAGTGATACCTAAGGAAAATACGTTCGTAAAGGTCAACAGAAGTTTCAGGGAACTTCCCAATTGAAATCCACTGGGTCCAGTGCTCAGACTTCACAAGCCTAAAACAATCCACCAATCTTTGCCACTGTTTGAAATGCATCTGAGGGCCTATCCTCCTGGCTTTGCACACAAGATCTTAGACTCTTACGAAAGCCGTGGGACAGTTGGCTGTGCTTTGAGATTCAAGAGGAAAATCGATGTTTCAAAAACCGACCGGCAAATCTTTGAGGAGTTGGATTTAGGAGATCTTTGGCTTGAGTCCAAGCTTCACCTGGCTTGGTTTTACATCCATGGCAACAAATATTTAGCAATTCCAGAATCGTGGAGGGATACCATGGAAAGCTTTCACCGAGAGCTTTGTGCAAGGGTATTTGGATTAAATTCAAGACTGTGTGCATGAAGAAACATTCCATGTCAACTGAGTTTTCCCTCATTAGCTGAACCTAAGGTAAGGATCGATGAATCTGATCGCCAAGCCCTTAACCAGCTCATTGCAGAATGCAATGAGCTTTGACTGCTGTGAGGCACTGCAAGGTGTTCTTGCCTTGCTCAAATTCAATTGGAGTGGGGATGCAAGTGCTGTAGTTTGCCTACCGCACATTCTAGCACCAGAATAAAAAAACAAGAGCTGGATAGTTGTTGCATGATGTTTTCATGTTTTTTACTGTATTTTTCAAAAATGAAACGCGCGCAAATATATCGCAAAACGAGCGCAAATATGCGCAAATAGGCGCAAACGAGCGCAAACTAAAAAAATGCACCTTTGGAAAATTAGTCCTCCAACTCAAAGGTCTTTTAGGATCAAGGACATATGTCAACGGACCGTTTGTCTTCCTGCCAAACGCTAGTGGGTGGCTGCAATATGGTTGAGTACAGTGACTTGTCAGCTGCACGGAGTCGAGCTGCAGAAATTCAAGCTCAACTGGAGGCCTGTAGGGAGGGTTGGAGGGTTGGCCTGTTTCAGTCTAGATGTCTTCGTTTGGCCCCTTAACTTGGGCCCCAGGCACGTCGAGAGCGCATTGCTGCCTTGCAAAAGCAGTTGGGTACATCTCAGCAAGACCCTCCAAAGCCAGTACCAGGCACGCTATTTTAAACCACCCCCCCAAAGATCAAGTTTAAATCCACATGCTCTCACCAGGTGCTCCTACTTTTGCCTCTGGTGATGGACCCTATGTGGCTGGAAATGCTGTGAAACGCTTGGCTAGTGCAGTCCTTCCAGAGTTTGAATCCAACGGTGAGAATCAATCAACAGTGGAGGCTCCCAGCCGTAGTGCTACTGAAGAGTACGACAGCTATTGGAGAGTTGAACGCAGGGACCATGAAAAGCTTGAAGAATCTCTTGCCCGTGCAAAGCGTGCAAGGATGGCGCCTGATGAGGCTGATGAGCTTTCTCACCAAAACCTAGGCACAGGGCTTTCGGGGGTGGCTCCAAATGAGGCCAAAGGGGTGGCTCCAATTGAGCCCAAATCTGTGGTTGAGGATGAGAACTCTGTGGAGGTTCCTCAGCCCCAACCCATGGTTGGGAAACCTTTGGAGGTTGCTGAGCCCCAACCCATGGTTGGGAAATCTGTGGAGGTTGCTGAGCCCAAACTCATGGATGGGAAGTCTTCTGGGAATGAAGGCTCAAATACCGGTGGCAAGGACCAGCATTTGGACCATTCTGCAACCCAGAAAGGTGCACAAGGAGAGGGACTACAGGAGCAGGGTGATGCTTCGGATCCCGACTCCATTCCTGCTGGATATTCTCCTTCCAGGGTATCCCACAAGAGCTCTCGCTCAGAGAAGTTTGACAAGTTCTACTACCGGTTCCTGGTCGGCCTAACCTTTGAAAGGGCACCCTCATCTTTTCAACTTTATATCTGGTCAGGGTAAGGTAGCTGGGGGGTTGCCTATGCTACTGTTTTGAGAGGTGGGTCAAAGTCAAAAGCTCCAGACAGCACCAAGGCTTCGTCGCTACTGCACGTGTGCCAACAAGAAGGGGGAGATCAAGGCCTCGCCCGAAACCTTGAAGCTCTGGGGGACATCTGCTGGCCAGCAGAAACTCAAGGAAGTTCTTCAAAAGCATGACAGCTTCAAGATTATGGAGATGGTTGTTTCCAAATGGGCAAGGCAAACGGAAAGCGATGGAAGGCGAGGTAAGTGGGTAACAAAGTCCTACTTGGCAGAAACTGAGAAGTACACAAAGAACCATGGATGCGTTTTGGCATCTGACCCCCCCAGAGTTCCAATTTGCTGCTGACCCCAATTTGAAATTTGAATTGCACGAACTCAGAGAATTGTGACCAGGGTTCAAACATCTAAGGCCAATGATTGACAACAGCTGGGCATGGGCTACGGCTAGGGGTCTTGTCCGCAAAAATGCTGTTCATGGGGAAGAGGAAGCACGATTGGTATTAGAAGATTGGTTTGACGGACGGAATGAACGTGGAACCGAGCAGCGGGGTGAAGCTTCTGGGCAGGTTGAGGACCCATGTTGAACCCATAATGCAACAGCTTTCAATCAACCATAGTTGGAGGGATCAAGTCAGGCTTCCTGTATATCTATTCTTTTGCAGGACACCGGTGGTGCTTTGTTTGACGCCTTCGATGATGAGGGCCTGGCAGGTGCTGATGCAGCATCTGAAGCTGCTGAGGAGGTCCGGAAGGCCAAGGCCGCTGCAGCTGCAGCAGCCTCGAGTGCCAACAAGAAGTAGCTAGACTGCGTATACATATTCATGCATATATAATTCCTAAATCGTGACTGAATAGATCTCAGGCTGGTCTTCCCGGCACTTCAGAAGAATGACACCCCTTTTTCAATTCTTCCACAGTGGCTCTCTGTACTGGGAAAGAAGGTGGATTCTGCTACGACTGCCCAGGACAGAAACACATGCAATCGTTCAAAACACATTACAAGCTTGAATCCAGGAGAAGCTTGTGGAGCGAAGGATTCCTCGAGCTAAGGAGTCTCTTGAATGCATGTCTCTAGATTTACTTCCAATGTGTCCAATGGCAAAATTTACAAGAGACTTGCCTAGGATGGCTGATGAAATTGGGGTCATCCTGGGACGGATGAATACCTACTTCAAGGAACTGAACTTGAAGCAGGCTGAGTTCATGTCCACTGACCCTTCACAGCCTCTTGCCTCGCAAGCCACCAGTTGACAGGACACATTGGATTTTTTTTGTCCTGTCAACCTCCCTTCACTCCCTCTGTCTATTTAAATCTGTCATGACAATTGTATCTGAGGAACTGTGATGCCTTGAAGGCAGCTGTGGTTGACCTCTTCACGAAATGCACGAAAGATGATGTCACCCTGAACAATTACATCACCCGTGCCAAGATTCATGGTTTAGTTATAGTTTAGTTGAGAGATGGGAACCTTTGGTAAACATGATGAGACTGGTGTCTTGCATGCATGTTTGTGTCTAGGAACATCAAAGCACCGACTCCATCCACCTCGGGACGCGTGCCTGCCGCCAAGACAAAGTCGAACAAGCCTGCTGGTGTAAAGTCAAAGGATGAACCCGAAGAGAGCTCTCGGTCCAAGACCAAGAAGAAAGCCAAAACTGGCAAGTGAATCTTTGGGGTTTTTCATGATCAATAGTAGGGAGCCCATTGTGCAAGCTGCTCTCAACAAAATGCATGCATGCATTTTTGAAGGTTCCCTCACCTGTTGATAAGCTGTTTGATTGGAGGCTCCATTTGCACCATTGCGAAATTAATCCAGTGGTGATGACCGCTATCCCTGGGTGAAAAACAATTTGGGTCATTTGCATTTATGCTTTCCTAAGTATGTGCAAACTGACAGGTTGCGTTTTTTCTGTGCTGCGCAGGTCTGGCCTTCCACGAGGACCATGACAATGATTGCCATGCCAATGGTCTCTGCCTGAGCAGTGACAGGTGCCAAGAAATAACACAGCACACAAACAGTGCCTTTCACTGCCATCACTTTCTCAGGTGGTGATGATTCATCTTCTGACATGCTGGATGCCTTTCTGGAAGACATCGAAGAGGGGGCCACTTGACCATATACAAAGTGTAGTACAAAGTGTTACTGCTGGGGCTATTTCTTGGGGAGATGTCTTGATCATTGAGCCTGAGGCTATTACAGCGAAAAGAGCCATACATTTGGCCAGCAGAGCTTCAAAAAGAATGAGACATTTAGGCCTGTCAAGCTGTCCCATCATTTGTGCATCATAAGGTCCTGAAACTTTTGGGATGTGTGATGGAATTCTTTTTCTTTTTGCAAATTTGAAAACCTATGGACTTGTTTGGTCGCAGGTGTTGTGGATCAGAATGTGGAGAAGCTGGCGCGCTTTGGGAGGTCCCGGACTGGGAAGCGGCGGGGTTCCAACGCTGCCAGGGATTTACATAGATGGATCCACCGCGACAAAAGATTGTTGCCAGTGGAGGTGTCCACCACACGTGTTCCTATTCGACTGCGGAAGCGCACCAAGACTCACGGTGCCAAGAAAGTGGAACACTGCTGGGTGGATCATCCAGTGGTCCTTTTTTCCTCATGGCTGGTGACAATCATGAACCTCTTCCCTAGATATTTTCTGGGGGGCTATGGACCAGGAGAGATTGACAAGTACCGCAGGATGTTCGAGTCCTTTTGGAGCAACTACCGCAATGTGGATGGCCAACATGAAGTATACCAAAAACCTTTGTGTGACCTTGGGCACTGCATTCCTCTTGCCCTACATGGAGATGAGGGGAGGGGTTTAGCTAAAACCCCTCTGATGGTCCTCTCAATCCAAACCATAATTCCCAGCACTGGAGAGAATGACTTGTCTCAAGCACAGCAACTTGGGCATTGATCTATACATTTTTGTGTGTATAGTAAGGGGGGCTGCCTTAAAGTCAAAGAAAGTCCCAGCTGGATGTCGCAAGTGAGGCATTCCTATTTGACCCGCCTCCTATACTCACTGATTCCATCGTCGTGGTATTCACAGAAAGAGGAGACGCTTGATTTCCTTTTGGGAGCATTGGCTACAGATCTTCGTGAGGGCTTCAACTCGGGGATTGTAGTGAATGCCCCTTGATTGAACAAATGCTTGTCACAGTCAATCCGTGCAGCTCACCTGCTTGCCTTCCCAGGTTGGGGGACAACAGGAGGTCAAGTTTTTCCCCGTCATTGTTGCCATCAAAGGTGACTGGCCATTTGTTCGCAAAGCGTGCCACCTGAGCTCTGGATACCGGAGCAAAAGGGTGTGCCACTTGTGCCCATCAGAGGAGCCCTGAGATATACGCATACTTTTTTGGGGATAGTAGGAGACCTCTGCAGTTTTGTTTTCGTATTCTCAATTGTTTGCAATGTTTTTGGGGCAATAGATCTGAACCAGCTCTTCCCCAGGCTCCTTAGGTTCCCGGCCAGGAGTGGTGGGATGTGTCTGCGAATGGACAAGCTCGAAGCTGGAGCGGGCCATCACCTTGTCCGTTCAAGCAGAAATGGTCGCCTCTTAGGTCAATACCTGGTTGTGACAATCCTGACCGCATTCAGCCCGATCTTCTACATGTGTGGAATTTGGGGGTTGGAGGAGACATGTGTGCGTCAACAATCCTCATGCTTAGCAACAAGGTCCGTGTGATCTTCCAGGGACGATCGCTTCAGGCATGTCTGGATGATGCTTATGGGAAATTTCACAGCTGGTGTGTGGACAATCGCTCGACAACATCCATCATGTCGTTTGAGAAAACAAAGTTCAAGGTCATCCAGTGCCGTAGCTATACCTATGACCTCCAACCCAAAAACGCATGGGGTTATATAGAGCTGCATGGGGGTCGATATGTTCCTGGCCCAATCTCTTTTGGGGAATCTGTGTGGAATCTGAGGCCTAACCAATTTCCCCGTGGATGTGGTAAAGCATATGATACAGCCCTGCTTTGCAAGTGGCTCCACTTTGAGTTGGAACAGCATTGCTTGGAGAGTGAAGTGCCTAGGTGAAGAAGTATACTATAGCATACCTGTCAATTTGGGGTTTCTGAGTTGGGAAAATATAGTATCTCTGGACTCTGGGCCAATCTCAATTGAATTGATTGAGGCTTCTGAGCACCAAGATTTGCTTCAGCTCCTGCGGTGGACTTTCTCGGCAGCCGATGTTTTCCTTCGTACCATCTACAATGAAGGGGTCTGGATGCCCCGAGCGTCTGCCGAAGCAGTAGTTCGAGCAGGGTTTGCATTAGGGGATGCTTAGTTCCAATATGTGGGCCTACAATCACAGCTATAGGTTTATGCAATATGAAGAAGGGCACCCCTTGAAAACTTAAGGAGGGCTACACTGCTTTGGCCTCTTTGTGTGCTTCCCGTGGCTGGAGATACTACCGGATCAGACCCAAGGAAGCTAGTCTGCACAAAGATATTGGTTGGAGAAAGAAGGCCTGTTTGAGTAAACATAACAGCCTTTTGTGGGGCCTTCAGGTCCATCTACTTCCTCACATAGTGACACTTGACTGCAATGTGTTAAAGCTGGAAGCACAAAGAGTTCCTGTGGTGTAAATGAGAAAAACGCCCAGGAGAGATGTGGAAAAGCAGCTTGGCAATCCCAGGGCCAGCTGGATTGCCAACCCCGTGATCTATGCTGTTTGGTCCGATGAAGATTACATTGGGCGCATATCACGACTGGCCCGGAGAATCCGAGCTGGTGGCCTCCAGGTTGTCAGGAGGCTAGGACGCTGATGAAATACCGGCGCATGTTTGGCCAAAAACTGAACTTCTGAACATGGTTTTCTCATCACCCTACACACCGGGTCTCTAAAAGGTCTTCTTGGTTGATGGGAGCAGGCAAGTGTTTGGCCTTGAGCGGGCTAGGGCCCCGGCAGTGGAAGCTTCAGTGCTGATGGAGAAAGGGCATTGTGTTTTGTGTCTGTGTGTAACCCTGCCGTGTGTGGATGGGATATGATGGTATTCTGACATACTAGCTGTAATACACCTCGAGCGTTTTTTTGACAGGCCGAGCGTTTCTTGACAAGTCGAGCGTTTTTTGGTTGGAGGGTGTGGAGAACAGTCTCTCGAGCAAAAATCCCACGGTACAAAAATTATTGTTACACTGGAGGTTGTAGGTATTTATATATGTGTGTCTCATTTTTCTTCAAAACGGACGGGAACGAGTTGAGGCAGTAAGGCTCGTCATGTGCTCAAATATTCACAGGTTGGTCCGTGAAGATTGGTTCCCAGCATCGTTTCAGGGGATCATGTTTTTTCACCAGACCCAGGTGACACCTACGAACTTCCGGTGTGCGTGTGTGCGCGTGTGTGTTGGTAAAAGGAAAACTCGACTCAAGCCCATTGGTTGGGCGACACGACTGTTGTGTTGCCACAAAACAGGAGTGCCCTACAGAAAAAGACCTGTTTCATCCATTGTTTCACATCTCAAGAGGCCGACCATGGTTCAACCCAGGTGCTGCTTGGCATCATCATCTCCCTCATCGTGAATTGCACCTTGGTCCGGAGCCCTAGGCGACGCTGCCACACAGCGCCACACACGGCGCCGCACCTGGAGTTCGCCACACCCTTAATTGAGGATTTGATCAATTCGGCTGGATAGTCAGTCTGACGTAGATTGACAAGGACAAGCAGGGTCAAGTTCAAGTTGAAGTCTATGAGAAGCTGCTTGATCCTTTCTGCTGATATTAGACATGGATGAGACGAAAGGTGGAGATCAGCATCAGCAGCTTCTTCTCATTGTACTTTGGATTCCTCTTCATCGTTGCGGGGCTCTTAGAAGGTACTGCACATTAGAAATCTTGTGTGCGCTTGCGCATGAATATTCATGAGTAGTGCCAACCTGTGCTTCAACTACCAGTAGCAAATCTTAGCACAAACCACTTGCGCAGGGGAAAAGTCAAAAAGAAACCTAATTAGTGGGCACGATCAGAAGTTGGGGGACTGCCAGGTTGGTGGCATCATCATTTGGCGCATCTTCAGTCAAGATGTGACATATCACAAAGAGTGAACGCCTTAGCTGCAGACCGCAACGCAATGTAGCTTTCTGTTTACATGCATCACGGATGCGGCTGACAAAGGAAATGCCACACACAGATGCATTATGTACAAGCCTAATGTTTACATGCATCACGGATGCGGCTGACAAAGGAAATGCCACACACAGATGCATTATGTACAAGCCTAACTGTGTTTGAGCACATTTTTGACTGTTTGGCCCTAGGTCAGTCGGGAAAAGGCAAATGCTTGTTGTCTTTGGCCTTCTCATCATCCTTTCGGGGCTCATTTGTCGCAGCCTCAATTTCAAGTGCATGTTTTGAGATGGCACAGAGATGCATCCTCTTTCTCATCGCTCCTTCAAGTCTCAAATGCGTTCACAAATTAATATATGTTAAAAGCCCGCTCTTAATTAAGTAGACACCGTCACCTATTAATTACGCAAGGAAGAAGTAAGCTCCTAGCTAATCCGGTCCCCCTAATAATAAACACGGCCCCCCCCCCTATTAAAAAAACCTCGGTCGCATCCGAGGTTTTTTTCTAATAGGGGGTCCCTGAAATCGGGGGAGCCCAAAATAGGGTCACCTGGAAAGAGTTTCAAAACCAAAAAGTAATCCAGGCAAATTTTATATAAAATCCTTTATTAAACTCGTATCAAAAATGCAAAAAACCGCCAGATCGAAGGGTCTTCCTTTTCCCCTACAAAAACCTTCATTAGAATAGTGATTCTTCAGTAGACTAACAGCTAAAGCTTTCGAAAGGTGATGTCGCTGTGCCATGCGGTGTTGCATGACCTCGGTGGCAAGTGCGTTTGCGTGAGTCCGTGCCATTGGGGCAAGGAAAGCCTGCTGGTGTAAGCGCGGCGTGTCATGGTGGAGTTTTGGGGAACCTAATAAAAAAAACTACCACCAAAATCGACCATGTTG